TTTTTCAAAAATTTTGTAGAATTGTCGATATTTTAAATTACTTTATTTTTACCATTTTCTATTAAGCAAAATGTCGTCAAAAATAAAGCAAGCTAAAAATGGCGTTATTTTTGTTTTTTGAGCGTTTAAGCAATTTTTCAAAAATTTTGTAATATTTTAAACATTTAAAATTAAGTCAAAAATGCTACATTGTTTTAAGCTTTCTATAAAACCTTTTTCAGACTGAAACATAATAAAATTTTGTCAAAAATAAGACGTAAAATAAAATAGTCTAGTTTTTGTTTTTTGCAAGCATAAAATTTTGCAAACTAAAAATTCTGTTTTTTTGAGAGATTTTGCAAAACTGAGCGCAAAAATAACTACTCTTGGTAGAAAATAGTAATATTTTTGTTTTTTTTAACCTTTAAGCACATTTTATGTTAAAAATTCAGTTTCGTCGCAAAATTGTGTAGCAACTGATCAAAAAATCACTAAATTATAATAACAAGTAACGCAAAAAGAATATAAAACACAGTACATGAAATCAAAAAAGCTTTTATAATTTTAAATTATTTTCACAAATGTAAATTTTACAAAGTAACATCGTGTAAACATGAAGCTCTCGAAAGCCATGTTTTAACATGTTTCAAGTTTTTGATTTAGATTCTAGTTTTAAATAAGTAGGTGATATTAAATGCACAGTTATTTTAACAGTTGCATACCAACATTAAATAACAAGAGTAAGCTTGTATTTGATCAAAACAAATAGAGATAACAAATGTTTCGTTTCTCTTTCCGTCTAAAAATACTACTGTTTATACAATTAAGCCGAAATTATACAAGATTATACTTATCTCATCTCCTAATTCATCATTTGCTAGTGTCATTGAAACCAACAATAAAAACAGTCGTGTGCATCACTGTACAGGTTAGCAACACATTATTATAAAACTAGAAATAAAATTTCACTTTACACAGAAATGTTTTTTGACTTGGTGGGCGTCTCCGTAGCTTTCTTAACCATCCTCTTTGCTTACTTCAAATGGCGCTACCAGTACTGGGGGCGAAAAAACGTCCCTTTCCTCCCTCCTACAATCCCTTTTGGCAATTCTAACATTTTCCGGCGTAAGGAAAACGGTGCTGTGCGTTTTAAAAAATTCTACGACGAAATGAAATCCCAAGGGTGGAAACACGGAGGTCTCTACACCATCCTCACACCCAGCTATCTCGTGATCGACTTGGACTATTTGAAAAATATTATGACCAAAGATTTCGAGTATTTCACCGATCGTGGGTTTTACTACAACGAGAAGGACGACCCTCTTAGTGCCCATTTGTTCGCAATCGGGGGGCAAAAGTGGCGAAATCTGCGAACTAAACTAACCCCGACTTTCACCTCCGGGAAAATGAAACA